GAGGGAGGGAAAAAGAAAGATAGAAGTGTCAGCATGGACCACAAGTTCCAGTGTGGCCTGGCCCGTCAGCTTCTCTCAGCCTCATCTGACTTCCCTCAGCAACTCAGACATGCCACCCTCATCCCGCTCGTCACAAACCTGTGTATATGTTACACCTATGGCAGGAGAGTTCTTCCTTTCTTTCTCCTCCTCATTAGTATCCTACTGTTCCTACTTAGCTCAGTTGTCACTGCTATAAGGAATCATAGCACCATGTTCTTCTCCTTCATAACCCCGCAGTTGTAACTTATGTCTATTTTTGTGATAATTAATATATATACTTTCTTAGGGTAGAAGAGGTCTGGTTTTGCTCATCACTGTATCTGTGATGTCTAGTATGGTGCCTCATACAAAGAGGTATACAATCAGTAATTCATTACATTAATAACCATCTATCAAATATAAATTAGTACATACTACATCCCAGGCTCTGGGGATATAATAGTGAAAAGACAGAGTATCTAGCTTCATCATATTAATTACATTTGGCCCTTGAGCAACATAGGTTTGATTTGTGTGGGTCCACTGTAAAGTTGGCACTCTGTATTCCCCAGGTTTCGCATCTGCGAATTCAACCAGCTGCAAATTGAAAACAATATTTTTGATCTGCAGTAGAGAATTCACGGATGCAGAGGGCCAACTTTAGTTATACAATTTTCAACGGCATGGGAGTTGGTGCCTCTAACCCCAACATTGTTCAAGGGTTAACTATATATGCTAGCCAGAAAGACTCTAATACAGTATGTCAAATGTTCAATGCTGCAATAGCAAAATTACATGATACTGTAGAAGCACACAGCTGGAGTGCTTTGCTCCTGTGCCAAATTAAAGGTTTTCTGGAGAAATGATTTTTAAGCTGAGGCCTGAAGGATGAGGAGACATTATCCAGGCTATGGGGTTGAATGGAGAATCCTAGGCAAAAGGTATGGCATGTGCAAAGGCCCAGCTCTGAGGGAGGCCTCGATACTTCATCGCCTCAGGAAAAGCACTGGGCTTGAGTAGCTCAGGTTGGGCAAGAGCTGGGATCCCAGCCAATGCCTGATATCAGCAGAGCTGCTGAAAAACAGTCAAGTACCTTTGTGATGCCAGCCTGAAAACCAGGGCAGGTTGTGGTGCACCAACACCAGACACTGACTTGAAAACTCAGCTGTTGTTAGCAGGTCATGTTTCTGGGCAGGAATTTCATGATGCCTCACAAGAGCCCCCTGGAATAGACTACAGGTCTACAGGTCATATGCACATAAAGCAGAGGTGTAGAAGTCACCTTACCTCAGCCTGTCACAGGCAGAGTCCTCTTAGGTATCCCCTCTTTGGATACAAATATGGAACCAACAACTTTCTTCCTCCTTCCTGGGAATCATCTCCTTGGCAGAAACTCATTTGGAAGGAAGAACATCTTTTAGTATATGGATACTAGACTTAGAGCACTAAAGGGAAGCCTGGATTTCTGTGGGAAAATATGCTTCTCAGTTCTGTGTATTCTTTTAATCCCTCATTTTTCCAAAGGATCAAGGTTTTGCTCACCACTGTATTTGTAGAATATGGTGTATAATTACCTTTAAAGGAGGAAAAAGTGTTGGCCTTTAAAGATGTCACACACCAGAGTTTTGGAAATTTGACCTGAGCCCAGAGCCTCAGTGTACTAAAGGTGTCATTTACAGTGCACCAGAAACACTTAAACTAAGGAGCATCTGGGACAGTTAAGAAGAGATGCTCAAATTAAACTCACTCTGTAGAGAACTGTCAGTCAAGAAGAGATGGAAAGCTGGAACCTATTTTAGAAAACGGGTGGGGAATAGGCCTGTACACTAAAACTGGACATGATTCCAAGGCAGTGGTAGTCATGTTGGATACCTGCCCTATACATGCTTTGAGGTTTAGCAACTGGCTTAGGAGAGGCCATAATGACTTACAGGCTTTGTGATCTTCACAGGAGTGCTGAGTAAGTGCCTCCCTAGACTAGAGGATGGCAGAGCTCTGGCCAGATCCCAGGAATCAGTTTGTATAGATCTCCGCCTCAGCCCTCAGGTTATCAATCCTTAACTGTGCTAGCATTAAGTTACCTTTTAAATAAAAAATGAATGCTGCAGCTCTTTTGGTTTTTAAGTGTTAGACCTCTTGGATCCAAATTCAAGAATAAATATATGTATTATTTGGCCTGCTATGTTGTATCCAAAAGTGAACCAAAGCCATAAAATAACTTTCTGATGTTGTATCCAAATGTGAACCAAAGCCATAAAATAACTTTCTGTGATTGTATTTGAACGCATACCCATGGAGTGATGATAAAATATCAAGCCGGTTTCTAAAATTTATGGGTCTCAAATTTGGAGACATGCGCAATCTAGGGACCTGGAACATCTGCCTGCAGCATCAGTACTTCTTAAAGTTTTGAAGAGAAAAAGCATTTTATCTTTTTGTACACATAAGATTTTGGTCATATATGTACAAACAAAATCAGAAATAGTGTTTTTTTCACAAGAATCTTGAAAGCTAAGAAATATTATGAGCAGTTTATAATGGGAAGTATTGGTACTTTTGAATTGTTGGGGAAATGGTAACATTAATCATGTTCCTGCTGTGAGAACAGAGTTTGCTTATGTCATGCTGGCTGAGGCCTGCTAGACTGCCAGCTTGGAGCAGGTGGGATGGATGATTTCTGGGCAAGTCCAGGGAGGCCCACGTGGTTGGTAGGTCACACTCTAATCTGTTGTTTTGCTTTTGGTTGGTTAGATTTCCCATACACACACACTTAATTACAAACACAAAAATTGGCTCACACAAATCAGTGAACTTTTTAAAATTGTACTTGATCAGAAGTGTTGTTTACAAATATGCAAATAGTAGTTCCACTCCTGGCATGATGAATTCCCCATTAACACAGAAATGATTTTTTTTTCATTTCCCTTATCATTCTTTATTTACTCCTCTGTGTATAATTTTGTGTTTTATTTTCAACCAGGGAAAAGGATCAGTAGTTAAAAACATGAATTTCAATGCGTAAGTTAGAAACCAGGAAAAATAGGCTAATATGAAGGAAGTTGATAGCAACCTGTAATCAGCAGCAGCTGTGGGTGTCCCTGGGGGACCCTAAGGTGCCTCTGACAGTAAAGTGGGGTGAAAGCCCTACCCTATCACGGCCAGTGACTTGAGAAGCAACGATCTAACATATGTGTACAGATATTCTTAAAACAGAAATGTTATTGTGGAAATGCAAATAAGCAGACATAATTAGAGACATCTTATGGGGAAAACCCCTGAACAATAACTGCCTGAAACTGCACTCTTGTGGCATCATTTAGAAACCAGCCATGCAAATTTTGAAAGGAAATTTTCAGAATTTTTTTACAATTAAATAGAAATCTTGGCTAGAATTAGTACAGTAAAAAGCACAATGAAGTGAGCAAAGTCAAGGTCAATCTCTAAAATTCCTCGAACGTAAAGCCCACCTACTAGGTTTAATAGAGCCTTGTACTGTTGATTTGGCCAAATTTGCTTAATGGCAAAATGAAGGAAGTGGGCTAAAGAAATGCCTGGTCATCTCACGTTCTCAGCTTAAGTGGACAGCCACCTGAGGGACTGCTGTTGACCCAGTTCACCACGTAGTAGGTTCTAAGATGTGAACCTGTGAATGATGGAACTCCACTACTAGTTTTTGAACTATTTGTGTATCTATCTTTACATTAATTTGTAAAATCCTTGGTAGCATAAAAGACAGAATTTTTCAACAATATATGTGATGGATTTTTTGCCAGTATGGTATTGATCGTGGGGGCCTAGGACTGGGATTATGCTCAGTCAGATAAACTAGGCAGCCTTTAGAAACAGGCCTGATGCACACCCTGTAGGTACCATCAGTCAGGTACCTGGACTTCCTTACCTTAAAGAGTTTGCCTCCAGATTCTCTTATTGTGTTCAATGGAGTAGTAAAAGTGGTAACATTTTGTTGGGAGTATAAAATTGAATCATAAAACAAAAAAACGCATCTTTTTAGATAGATTTATAAAGACATTAAAAGTGAGTTTGTTCTATGACCCAGATTGGCTAGATTTATCCAGGGACGGTGATCAGAGACTTCAGAATCAGATTGATACGGTTTTTTCCCTCATGGAAATATAAAAGTACACCTTACACCACCACTCCCAACCTCCACTCTGGTATCTAAAAGATTATTTTTCTGTAGTTTCTAGCACAGATCACTTGTTTACTCACCCCCCCCCCC